TGACTCGAAAGCAGTGTCCTCTACCAAGCTGCCTGCACTTAACTCATCTTTTTATTCTCAATCCCTAACACAGTGAGTAGGAGGGATCTGACAAATTCTTGATCAATGAGAAAATACGCCATCACAAAACTAAACAGGGCTCATAAAATTGTTTCTCCATTAAAGAATATTTTAATGAGTATTAGGTAAAATATTTTGTTCTAGGTTGACAACTTTATAAGGAGATAAACTATCAGTAGATTTTATATCCTCTAATTTCCAGTCCAATCCCCAGCTCACCACTCCAGCTCTCAAGACCAAAGGAGGGAACCTCAAAGACTGGAAGAAACCTGGAAATAGTCTCCCTCTTCCTCATTTCCTTGTCTCTCATGGAATCACCAACTTGTGTTAGAATATTCTGTGCGCATATCTTCTCTCCCTTCCTAGACTCTGAGTAATTACAGGGCAAGGAGTGTCAGGCATTTCTCTACATTCTCCTCACAGCATTTCAGTTTTTTTCTTTCTAATTGCCATTTCTCTCATTCTACTGAACCAATTAACCAGTGAATGACTGTGCACTCTGTTCTGTATCCTTAAACACCTTTAAGAAGCTGAAGGCAAATTAAAATCATGAGTAGTCTTAAAACAGAAAAACAAGGTCCAAAATGTCAGTCAAACAAAAGGCGCCTGTGAGAAGGATGCAGCAGTCCGGCCGGGTCTGGAGGACGGTGGAAACTCCTTTCCTATCACTCACTCGGCTCTCAGATTAGCACTAGGTCCTCGTTCAAGTCCCTAAAGTCTCAGGGACAACTGTGCGATTCAGCGTACCCAGAACGCTCACTGCCTCCAGGTTCCAGTGAATCAGGAAGAAGCCTGTGTTTAATCCATTAAAATTATGATTATCATACAAGAATCTAATGATTACAAATCTGAACACTGACATAGGAAATGACAGTTGGGAGAAATTGACAGACTACTTTTTATTCTTTCTTTTTACCAACCGCCAAGAGCATTCCAGGAAGAAGGGGAAAAAAAACTTACTTTGAGCAGCCAAGTGAGAACTGAGTCACGATATGGAACAAATTTATTCTTGTTTTTGCCAGCACCCTGATCCGCTAGGGCTGAGATAACCAGACCGAGGGTTGTGAGGGACCTGCATGGTGCAACAAATCGTAATAATCAGAAAAACCTGAGGAGATCAAATGTCACAGTTTAGCACACAGATTGAACATCAAGATGCCTTTGTACCAGCACGAGAAAGCATGCTGTCAGCATTGTGCTGCTCGGGCTAAACACACAGACACTTTAAAAGCTGGTATCCCTTTACGCTAAGCTATAGAACTGCTTAGCTGAATTTTGTTTTTCATTTTTGAAAATAAAAATGTAAGCTATAAACCATTAGGTCAAGATAATGACGCAAACACACATATCTTTAAGAAAGGAAGCAAGAAACACAATACAATTAACTAAAACAAGTACAAAGCAAAAGCTTTCATACACACACACACACACACACATATCTCAATATGTAATAGCACAGCGTCTAGAGGATGGTGCTCCATAATCTCTAAATGATCATGCTGTGTGTCCTTCCTGGAGCCACAGGGATAGAAAAGACTCCTGCCCACAGAAGCTAAATTTAGCTTAAAATATGAAAATATAACCATACGAAGGACTCGGTGTACAAAAAGGACTTTATAAAGCCCTAGCTTCTTGGCATAAACGAGCACCACGGCAGTCATAGAAGGGAAAGCCCGACGTGGCTAGCACATGTGCCATGGTTTGTTCAGACAGTGACACCCACGCCCAGATCCATAGCTGGACCCTGATACTCTGTCTTTGTCTTTTCTACAGCTTAGACCAGTGGTTTTCCCCTGGAAGGTGGCTGTGTCCCCACAGGGAGCATCTGGCAATGTCTGGAGATAATCTGGGTGGTCACCACTGGGGTTTGGGAGGGAGGTGGCAGGCACTGCTGCCACCTAGTGGGGAGAGGCCAGAGATGCCGCTAGACAGCCTGCAAGGCACAGGACTGCTCCCTGGGACAGAGAATTCCCTGGCCCCAAACCTCAACGGGGCTGCCCTAGAGAAACCTGTGACCTGACCGAGGCTGTGCGTCTCAGCTCCACAGACATCTCAATACAACATAAAACAGGCTCGGGCCCTTCAAATACATGGATGAAAAACATTCTCAACTATTTACTCTTTACAGCCCTGGTGGCTCCAGAATCCCCCTCCCTCAGGGGCCGCAGCGCCCCCGCCCGACTGGCAGGCCAGGGAGGCACCTACTTGTTGATGTTGCTCCCTTCCTTCAGCCGGTCCCCCGCCGCCCCCGTCTTCGTGGCTCGCTCGCTGCCGGCCAAGTCCACCAAGCTCAGTTTGCCCACTTTCTCTCCAGAGGTCTAGGAGGGAGACCGACAGGTGCCGGTTAAGAGTTCAGTGACACGCTCCACCCAAAGTGTGTATTGTCCAAGTCCTCTCTTAAACAGTGTTTACTGTCATTTTAAAATTCATTTGTGATGCTACAGAATAGAGTAAGAAAACTGTCCAGTCCCGCAGCAGATACACACACACACGTACACAAGTACTAATGCAGACAGAAAGTCACCTCAGAGAACAGTGCCCTCAAAATGGTACATTTTGAAGGGAACCCAACAAAATTTTCATAGAAGAGTAGATAAAATTTATAAGGTACAAATTTTAACATATGAAACTGTGCTTCAAATTTCATGTATATTTACCAATCATCCTAAGGGTAAATATTTGCATGTCTTATGATATTAAAAAAATCTGTCTTTTATACAACAGAAGGATCCCTCAAAAACTCAACACTTTCTACAATTTCATATTATTCATATAATTCCCTTGTTTCACAATTTCAGGTATTAAACTTAAATATTTTTCTAGTTATTATGACATTTTCCTTTATCCAAAATGTTCCATTATCAAATCACACACAGAACAGATATTTAATACTTTAGCAGCAATATAAGAAGTGTGGGAAAGCAATGCCAAAATCTATAACTGGATCATTTTTTAAAACTTCCCTTTAAAATACACATTTATATTTGTTTCCATAAATAAACATGTGGCTAACAAAAAGATATTCAGCTCCCCAAATCAAAAGTACTTTTGGTTAAAAAAATGTCAGTATGTTTTTTGTTTTATGCTGAAAAGGAAACAGGAAACAAAGAACTTTTTGTCATTACACTAATCTTGCTGGGATGGTAAAAGAAGACAAATATTCTTTCAGCAAATGAAAAATCTTGCCAAAATATAGCTCTTTGCCAGGGTGATCATTTTAGCTTCTGGTATTTGAAACTGATTCGCTGGAGGGTAGTAATAAAAAATGCAAAAGTTCACAGAAAAAATAAGAGGGAAAACACAAATGTATCAGTCGATACAGAAGTTTTCACTCTGGTAGAAGTGCATAAATCTCTGGCTCTGTTGACGCTTCATAAGCTTCTCAAGAAATACTCAAAAATTATTCTACAAATCAGGCAATCTTACAGTACAACTTCCCCAGTGTAACTTACACCTTCTAACACTTAGCTATTTAGCAGAAGGTAACACTTTGAAAGAAACTCCACTAAACCAGCCAGGGGACTATTAGCCTACACAGTCTGCCATGAGAGTTTAAAGCTCAAAAAGCGCTGTGGCAGAGACCGTGGGCCATCCGTTTATATAACCTGTTTCAACTTCTTAAAGTTGGAGAGGGTGGAGAACTAAAACCTCCATTTCTCAGACTTAGGGTGTGACCGGCTCTGTCAGTCAGATACACCTTATTAAGATTTAGAAAGCAGAAACCAAGCAGAGGTCATCCATCCCCCTGGGCCATTCTGGCTTTTTTTCTGCTGGCAAGCAGGATTGTAGACATATGAGTTTTCCTGAAACAGGGTCCCCGCTCACATTCCCCAGCTCCCAGGGCACTAAGAGGCAGCCTCATTGACCCCTGTGTCCTGGGCCACAGCTTTGGGAGTGGCCTCAGAGGGAGGACCACCCTCAGTGGATGAGATCTGTGCCATCCTGAACGTTATTCCTACAGGTCTAGAACCCACTCCTCTGAAGGTACTCCAACAGCTTCATAATTGCCCAGTTCCCTCCACTAAATCCCTTTCTGCTTACCTAGAGTGGCTTCTGTGTCTTGTCCTGAGCCCTAACTGACAGACATGTCTCACTAGGACTTTAAGTCATATAATACTTGAAGGGAGTAAGATAAACCACGATTCACTTGAGAAATTTTTTTAAAAAGGCCACGCATCTCAGCACCTACCCCAGACCTCACGTCGTATAAAGTATGTGTGAGGGTGATTTTGAAGACTGCGTGGGATCGGCTGCTCTCCTCGTTCATGTTGGTGGCAGCGACGGTACGAGACTTGTTACCCTCAGACATCAGAGACTCAATATCCTAAGTGGAAACAAGTCAGAGACACAAGTTTCATCACCTAATAACCATTAAAACTCTCCTATGCTACGAAGTGCATTCCAAGTTCCACTACTTAGTCAACCACGTTTGCAGTTTACATTCTGTTTTTTCAGTGACCATTAAGCCCCACAGAGTACAAGAGCCAATACCATCCCTGAAAACTCAATACATTATTTGCAGTGGGTGCAGATCAAGTGGCAGCTCTGAAATTAGACAAGTTCGGAAGCTACATGCTGAGTCCCACAAGATGGACAAACACGCCATGCCAACCCTCATCTAGAAATTTGAAAAAAGCTTTGTTTCTTTAATTACAGCAACAGAAGTTAATTGCTAAATCAAATTAGACTATATGCATAGACAGCAAACAACAATAAGCTGCAACCCCTTCTAGCACTGTATCACCACATCGGTGTATAGATCTTTACCAGATCTGTTTTTAGAAAATCAGAACATCAAGAGACTAATCTTCTGTACAGATTTACCACTTTGTTGCCATTATAGCTAAAAAAGAGAGAGCCTGATACACTCAAAAGTTATCATGAGATCTTCATTTATTTTTAATGTTATAACTCTAAAACAGTTACTTAAGCAATCTGGAATTTAGTTTCATAAACAACAACAAAGCTATAACATCCTCTACCTTACAAGGATTTTAATGAGGAACAATACAGATAGTGAGTCCACTAGTTGCCTCCTTTTATCTCCCCCTCTTCCTGGTAAAGCTGAGCACACTGCAGTGGAACTAAGAGACTACATTTCCCAGATGCCCCAGCAACCAGTCTGGACATATGACTAAGTCTCAGTGAGCAAGACAAAAAGTCACCTTGGAATTCACCTTAAAGGGAGTAGGCAGACCACCACATCTTGGTTCTAAGGGCCATCCTCAGCTATGAGAACAAGGGCACCACTACAGAGCTGGCTCTCTGGGGAGAGTGGGACGGTCCTGACAGCATCTTTGGAGCCGCCATACTAGCCCCCCCATTTGTTCACTCTAATATAAACTGAAAGCACCTACTATAAGCCAGGTACATTTTAAGATACTGAGGATACATAATGAACAAAACAGGTAATTCATATTCTAAAGAACTTAAGTCCTGTTATGCTTTTCTGTTATATGCAGCTAAATATAATCTTAATTGACACATATATGAAAAACTTTGAAAACCGCAGGATTCCATTTTGCTATATAAACGAAAAAGAAGAATGTTTATATTTAAGGGAAGAATTCAACGTGATAAATAAAAAGCTTCAAAGTAAACATCTCAAAAAAGAGGTATAAGTAGGCACCAAAATGGAAAAAAAAAAGTAAAATTCACAATTTTCTCAATTTATTCCAAGTCCATTTTAGATCCATTAAATCTAACAACACTGACACTTAATGTAAAAGCTTTATCCTATTTAGCCTACATTTATTCACTGGTCTGTAATCATCTAAACATTCATTGGTCTTTAGTCTGTTGTCTCTTCCATAAACTCTTTATTGAGCCTTTTTATTTTTTTTTAACAAAATGGCTTTTTATACTTCCCAATCTCCTCTGAGCTCTCAAGAAAATCTTGATCTCCCTCCACTGTTGCATAAATAAACTCTCAATCATTATTAAAATAACAATACCTAACATGTATATGATTCCCCGGAGGTTTCCAAGACTTTTCACACGCATTATCTCACTTGATCTCCTCCAAGAAGCCTTCCTGAATCCCACCCTCCCCAAATACCTACACATCCGTTTAAGTTAGGTACTCCTCTTCCAAACTACCATGAATCCCGAATATGCATCTCTCACTGCACTTAAAATTACGTTGTTTTATAATATCTTTGTTAACATCTGTAAGCATCTTTAGAGAATAGGCCATCTCATTCATTTCTTATTTCTTCAGCACTCAGCACAATGTCTGGCATAGACAGGTGTTCAATAAATGCTTACTAAATGAAGTAACTAACGTTTACTAAATTAAGTATCATTGACCAAATAACAGAATTTGATTAATGAACAAAGGAATTAATGAATCTACCTCAAAAGACAGTCAAAACAATATAGCTAATTTCCATTTAAAAAATCAGGACAAAAATTAGGCTTGGTGAGATAGAGTTAATGATCCAGAGTCATAGAGGAGTCACCAGATCAGCATCCTCTGACTCTTACTTCAATGTGCCGTACATTACGTCACAGCTCACCCACCTCCACTTTCCCAATGAGGAAAGCCCAATGGCTTACACAAAGCAGAACTACGACGTTTGAAAATGAAGAGAACCATAACTAGAGGCCAGTGAGTGATTATCTCAAATTAGAAACAGGCTTTGAATTTCCAACTACTCAACTCATTTTATCTCCTATCATTAAATTAACAAAATCATAAGCAACATCATCATTTTATGTAATACTAGGTAAGAAAAAACACAGCTATTTATCATTTTAAAATACAATTGTAAGGAATATCACAGTTTTAGAGATCATAAAATATGGAAAAAATGTGTCTCACAATAAATGAATAGATATGCCTTGCAAATATGTATACCTTCTCTCAAAATTAAACAGATCTAGCAGCCATATACAGCTTTATAATAAAGACTTTTTGTAAAGTGACTTCTTAAGTGACACTATCATAAATTTATTTTAATTTTTAAAAAATCACAAATTTAACAACAAAAAAATTTACTACAATGAATTTTAGTAGTTTACATAAAGGATGCTGTTACCTTGTAGCTTGTGACAGCCAATTTAGAAAGTCCATCGACATAGGGTCCCAACACACTGTGCTCTCTGACTTTTAATGTTTGACGGCTTCTGTTCATTAAAATCAAAAGAAATGGTTTTTAAACAATAACCTGTTTTTAAAAGAATTCAACTATGCTCCATAAAAATATATACTGAATTCAACAAAGATCTCAAATAAATGGAACAAACAGACTTGATCCCAGAAGAATTTTAAACCAAAATTTAAAATCTCAACTAGTAAGAACTTTCACAATGTGGTAAAAGATCACATCATTCAAATGGGTACACTGTGGGATGTCTACTACCACAAAGAATGCAGAGTCAAATAAATACAAACAATCTACTTGTCAGATCATAGAATGTGGTACAAAGAGCAGAAATTCAGTAAATGTTAACTGCAGGAAAGAAAACTACAGACCAATCTCAATCAGGAATAAAGACAAATATAGAGAAACAAAAATAAAGACAACAGACTGAATCTGAGTGATTTAAAAACCTAAAATTGGGCTGTGCCAGGGCTGTTATGCTGTTTAAATATTGAAAAGATTCATGCCCTTTACCACAATGAGAGACTAAAGAGGAAAAAAAAAGCAATCATTTCAGTAAACTATTAAAATAACATGAAGAATGATTCAATAAAATTAAATACTCATTCATGATTAAAAAATAAATAAACCTCTTACAACCAAGGAACTAATGAAACTAGTAAAGGGCACCTGCCAAAAACCTAGAGCATATCAAGTACTTAATGACACCAACCAAAAAAATATTAAGAATAGCTGATGATTGATTCTATCTCAAAAAGCTCTTCAAAAAAACATAAATATTGCAATGAAAAAGAATACTTGTTGATAGCAAGGTTGTAAGTCAGTCTTATTTTATGTAACTTATTATTTTCTAATGATTTGGAATTTTATAGCACCCTAAGGATCAACCACCAAAAACTTCACTTATTACTACAAAACTGTATATAAAGCAGATATAGAATATTTGACTTAGTTCTGATCTCAAGAATAATATTCTATCAATTTTTCTCCTTTCATGTTTCCCTTTTTTCTTTAAGATAGTGTATATTATCTCTTGAGTAAAGCAACGTTATTACATTAGGACACACAGCAGACAGTGAATTAACAATCAGTACTTCAGCAAAGTAACTAGGTTCTCTCAAATAGTCTTTCATTGAAAAGGAATCACCTTCAGAGGTTGTAATCCGTTCACTTTGGCTCTTGAGAAACACCACAAAAATCCTCAAGAAACTCTGAGGGAGGAGACAACAAGAGCTAACACTTCCTGAGCACTGACTATGTGCCAATAAATGTTCTAAGACCTCCGGTGTATCACCCCAGTGTAACTTCACAATAGCCCGCTGAGATACTATGTAACATTATCATCCACTCTGTACAAATGTGGCCTAGAAAGCACAGGAAACTTGCATAATAGGTAACAGGTGGAGGATCTGGATCCAGATGCAGGTGAATCCAAAGCCCATGCTACTAATTACTCAACTATACACAAGACAAACATCTAAGAAATTACTAAAGACTGTCGGCAAATTATAGATAACGTTCAAGCTACTCACCCAAGCACTGTGGAATATGAAACATGAGAACGAAGTCAGCTAAGAACTTCTGGAAAGAGTAGGTCTGGGATCTCAAAGAAAGGGATGCTCTTCACAGAGGTAAAGGTTCAAGAAAAAGTATTCAAGGCAGACCCAGAAAAAGTACAGGAGCACAATATCCAGCAAGATGTGGGTACCTAAGGCCATCACCTTCCTACCTCTGGCCACCTTTTGTTCCCTGTCTCAACATCCATGCATACTGCCCTCCACACAGGACAGCTGGGTCACTTTCCAAACACCTCCATGCTTTGGCACAGGCTGTCCCCATGCCTGAATTGTTCTCACCTAACTTCTCGGTGGACAGACTCCTGCTCAGAACAAAACTCATCAAGCATCCTCTGCAGAATCCTTCCTTTTCCTCTGGACAGTCAGCCCTTCTCTGCTCTCACCTATTCTGTATAAGCCGTCTTCACAACTTAGAAGCATTATTGCATTGATTCATAACTATTTGTTTCCAAAACTCCCATTCTGCCCACACTGAGGCCTTCCTCTGTGACCGCATGGTGCCTGACATACAGTGATCACGCGGTGTTAGGTTTTGTATAGAAACACTAAGGGTCAATTTAATCTCACTCTGAAAGGCCTGCAGATCATCATCTTTGCTAAAGAAAAAAGACACCATTGAGGAGGAGGCAGGTTTGGTTTTCTCTTGCCTGAGTATCACTATGACTCACTGCCTCTAAGACCATCTTTCCTTGATCATCTTTTTCATCCAAACATAACTAGATGCCCCCTTGTCGTCCTCTGCACTTTCTATACCCCTCAGCTCGTGTGGCTCTTTGACCTTCCAAATGCTGTTCTTACATCAATAAGCCACAGGCTGTGGTTATTATCTGTTTCATTCTCTCCACTGTTGCACTTCCTTAAAATCTGAACTTAGAGAACTCTCTGCAATGAACAAATTTCCTCAGAGTTATCTTAGTTTCAGTTATGACTGCAGAGTGAAATCTGCATTTTTGAAGGCTTTCTAATACTTTTGAGCCACTTCTCTTTCTAAGTCTATGCCACACAATGGACACTATTTTCTCTCTGAGCATCATTAATATTAACTATCTTGAAGTCCAGGTTTCATTATTTCTGATTATACCTCTCCCTCACTTCACAGCCTACAAACAAACAGATGTACTCCAATCAAAATTTCTTGGTTTAAAACAAAACAAAAAAAACCCTACTTCATTAAGTTACTTGGTTTCAGGGTAACTGGTATCCTTAACTGTTATTACATCTTTTTTGTTTGTGGCTTTGGATGTATCTAAAGAGGCAACATGACCCAAACACATACTGTTCAAACATGCGTCCCTGCCCCATCTCAGCTCCAAGTCCAAAAGCCCGGCACTGGCTGTAGGAAGCCATTTTATGTAATGAAAAACAAATCACAAAGAAAATAACAAGGTAAATAACTCTCTACTAAAGTTCAGTGTGAAAAATTTCACGTAAGCCAATTTATTAAGTCTGTTTTAGTCCATAAAACCATAACATCAAAGTCTCAAAAGTCATTTACCCTTTGGGATCAAGAAGGTCTCTAACTTTTTCATTATAAATTTCCATATAGGACACTTCTACTTTAAAACTCTGCTCTTCATTTTCCTCTTTCTGGGTTCGTTCAAAGAGCCCACTGCAAAGTCTTGGGATTAATCCAGGTTGGTCCGCGGTGCCCATCATGGTGTAAGATTTTCCAGATCCTAAAAAATGGAAACCATCATCATCACTGTCTCCCCGAGAAGTTTAAATAAATAACCCTCTTTCCAGTGCTCATAATAAAATCCTAGCACTTAGCAAAATGCCCCCAATAAGAAATATACTCAAATACAATGATGTCACTAGTAAGTACAGAAGCTTTCCTATTGCACACGTAAAAGTCAAAAGTACACATCCTTTAGGAAGAAAGCAAAAATCTTTTACCGTCTTCATACTTTAAAAAGAAGTCCCCTAAAATGACAGAAAAGTGTGAGGTCTGAATAGTTTTCTAAAATTGAACTGGGAAGATCCACATGATAAGCACTACGTGCCTGTTTCCAACCACTCATCACAGTGCAGAACACACGTGTTACCCCTACGGGCCCCAAACCCACTCACTGCCACTGGCCTCCGGCAACAGTGCGCAAATCAGACTCATCTTCTTTCTCTACTAGAAAATTATTTTCTCCGCTGTACCCCAAATACATATTCCTTAAAGAACATTTCAAAAACATAGGAAAATAGAAAGGAAAAAATTAACTCACTCATAGTCCTAACTTAAGCATAACCCGTTCTCCTTTTTGTGATTTCGAAAACATACTTTCAATCATTCAACTGCTGCTTTGGTCGCCTGACACTTGATCATTACCGTGACACCTAAAACTAACACGGCACTTCTCGTGTGCAAGGCCTTTTCTACAAGTTTTCACATGGTGACTTATTGTGACAATCCTAAGGAAAGTCTTTAATGACTGATGTTTTACAGGTAAGGAAACTGAGGTGCCAGTTTCCCAGCTGCCTAGAAGCAGGGGCAGGGCTGCAGCTGGGCCGGCCGGACTCAGAGTCCACACTTATAACCAATGCCTTTGAAAATACAGTAAGTATTTTTCTGTGAAGAACAGTTTTCAGTTGGACAAGCTATACGAGATACCCTCATAGAAGTGACTACTCCACTTCAAACAGGTTTCTTTTCTGTTGACCACAGGGGTACAAAAGTCAAAACACTCTATCAGCCATAACTAATAAGATGGTAGCAGCAGCACATATTCTTTTTGGTATTGTCTTTGTTTGGATCCTTAAAGCTTAAAAAAAATATATTATGTAACAGTTACCAGTCTGTCCATAAGCAAAGATACACGCATTGTAGCCGTCAAAAGCATTCTGAAGGATATTCTCCCCAAGGCACCTGAAAACATCATCTTGACCTGAAACAGAGAAAAAGGATGTTTTAAGCCAAAACTACACACGAACAATTAAAACAACAACAAACAAATCCCTCAAAAATGCACATTTTTTCAGCTTGTTTATCTCCAAATGAGATTGTTAAATTTGATGAATTCTTCCAAAGGCTTATGTCTTTCAAGTTATTTTCAGTTAGCACGTGACAGAAAATGAGTAATAAGGTCCTGATAACAGGAACTTGAATTAATAAACACTGGTCAAAAATCCTCTGTAACGGAAAAAAACAGTGAAGTGCTAATTTTATAAACAATGATTATAAATACCTGAAATTTATACTTGGGACCTAGGTGGACCTGAATTTAACTACATACCGCTCAGCCAATGCCTTATTCAGTGCGTACTAGAGTTTGAAGTAATCATATGTATCAATTCCCTTTCCTTCTCCTCGACAATAATGTTTAATTGCAGAGTCTACAATACATAGCAGCCAAGAGAGGGAGGACGGACTTGGACATTTCTTCTAGCTTTCACTCATGGACATAAATAGCAAGATTAAATTATCCTCTACAGGCTAAATTAAACACCTCAATAATCAAACGTGACCGTGACAAGTTATTCAGCCTCTTTGAGTCTTGAATATAATATGAAAGAACTGGCTGCTGTTGTATTTGCTATATTTTGAACGCTATAAATAGCAGCCCATTATGCCTCACTTCCCAGTTAATTTACCAGATTAGTACACCATCATTACACTTTTGACACTGAAGCAATCCTTCAAGTCATCACTGGGCCAGGTGGCCCAAATGAACCTTAACTTTTGGAAACAGCTGTAGTACTACTGTTTCTCATGATAAAAGCCAAGACAATATGACACTCAGTATTTAAGACACTGCTTAGAAACGAGTGTCACAAGCAATTAGGGATAAAGGAAATGTAATGCTGTCACTGTAGTCCTCAATTTGTCGTGAAAAGAGGCTTGAGAAGAGAGTAAGTCATCACTGAGGAGAGTAAGAGAATAGAATCCCAGAGCAAATTTAGAGAGAATATGGCATCTCCCTCCCCATTAAAAAGAGAAAAGGAACACTGAAAGCTCAAGTGATTTATTCAAATTCAGAGACAGTCAGGGGTGCAGCTCAGTGCTAGAGCATCTGACTGCAGACAGTCAGGAGCGGAGCTTGGATTAAACTTGAAGTTTCCTTTCCTCCTTGGCCAGCATTCTCCTTTCCTTAAACCAAGCTGCCTCTCTAGACTACATCACAAACACTAAGGGGTCTAAGTGGCCAGTGCGTGCTGTGGTGCCATGTAAGGCCTAAGGATGCTATAACACCATGCGCCCTATTCATCCTATTTCATCATCTCATACCAACAACAGTGCACTGTGAATCTCCCATTTCCCAATCAATATAAAAACTTTAACAGCAAAGACTAGAGGAAGTTCTCTATATAGTTTCTAAAATTACACAAAATGCTACAATATTTCATAGGAAAAAAAAACCCTTTCTATACTATCAGTAGTTAATAGGATGCTGTATTCTTACCTGAATACTTTTCTCTGACAGATTCATCCATAGACCAGAAACAATGATCATATGCAAACACCTGTTGAAAAATACAGCATGTATTACTGTACTGTATACTTATAATGTTATTAACTATGTCATAGCATTGATAACATTGCTCACAATAGTGAAATAAAAACAACTTACTGTCTTACAATGGAGGTTAAATTCTGTATGGTAAAGACTCACCACAGACAAGTCAGCACCCTATAGATGATATGGATCTTTATTTCACATGGAAAACTCTTCACAATGTTAAGTGACAAAGGGGAGGTTACAAGACAATACGTACAATGAGACGGCTATTACACACATACACACAGTCACACATATCAGGATCACTACTGCATGATGAGATGAGCGATATCTTTGTTTTCTTTATGTTTTTATGTATTCTCTATATCCTTAGTTTTCTCATCAAAGAAAACAAAGTTTTTTTTAAATGAAATGTAAAGATGATTACTATAGCATGCTGAAAAAGATTCCTTAAATAAATTATAACACAACCATGGTTGATACAATGTAGCTTTAGACTGATAAGAAAATATTCATGTATTAATGTAAAAATTATAAAAGTCTGGACCATGATCCCGTATTTGTACAAAAATCTAAACACATAAAAAGTAGTAAGAATATACACTGGAAGTACTGGTAGTACTTAATGCTACTTGGTGGGATATCAAAATTATTCGTTTTGACCTTTTTAAGTTTACTACTTTCTAAAATACGTTTTTTTTTGGTTTTTTGGCAATCTTTTAAAGTCCCTTTTACCTATTTAAAATTTTTTGATTTCACTATAATGTAGTGGATTTTAGGTGTAATTGTGTTTAAATCTATTTCAGCTTGCATTTCAAACTCTCCTACTTTGGGAGTCTGTTGCCTCCCTTCCCGATGACGGCTTTCCTCTTTTGCCTTTTTATAACGTTAGTTTGCAAGTACATCTGAATTGGGAGTTTGTATTTTCCAGTTTGTGTGATGGCTTGTTTTTCCCTCTCCCTTTGGCTACCTTTACATGACTAGCTATGCTGCCGCTCCCAGCTACTGAAGCCCAGATCTGGGTCTTTCCAAAGCACAATGTCTCTACTCCCTCCTATTTACACAGAAATTAGCTCAATGGTGGTGGCCAAAAACCCTTTTTTCATGATGGAGCCTCACCCAAATTGGTTTTCACACGGTGAGCTTCTCCGGCTCTCGATCACACATCAGGGTCCCCCCTAGTCTGCAAGAGCTGAACTTCCAATCCCCTCTGAGAATCTGTATCTGATCTCAAGGGCCCAGGAAGCACGCTGCTGCAGCCCCAGGTTGCCACTAGTCCCTGAAGTGACATGTTTTTCAATACAGTAACATGATTTTAGTACTTTCAAATGTTTTGTCTGTCCCTGCTATGAGTTTAGAGTTGGCAGAAGAATGTTTCTATGTGAACTCACAAGGCTATATGGACCAGAGGCCTCAGAGTTAAATTTGTTTTTAAAGGAAATTAGATTAGGATGGTAAATTAAGTATGCATGCCTATACCCACCTCCCATCTGAAATTCACTCAAAATAACAGAGGAATGGAGGGAAAGAGCCAAAAGGAGAAAGGAAAGGGGAAAGGAGAGCAAGTTTTTAAAAGCAAGATTGCTTATTTGTACCTGGACCAGAAACTACGAATGCCTGAAAAACAGCAACAGTGAGACTGATGGTGGGTTAGTGTGGGGACCACAGGGAGCTGCAGGAGGAGATGGCTGCAAAGCTAAGAGCAGGCGTGGAAGAGCACCAGGAGAACAGCTAAATGAGCCATCGGGGGCCCTGGGACAACCAACAGGATGACTGGTTAGAAACATCTTCAAAGCAAGGAAAGATCAGAACAGCCGTATCCCTGTGCAAAACTGTGGCAGGAGGCATCTGTCCCCTGGGATGGGGCACTGATGGGGGAGCCAGGACAAAGGGGCATGAGAAGCCCAATGGCTGACAACCCCCATGAAGAGGCTGGAGCCTGGAGCCCAGAAGCCGCCCACCAGCCTCAGCACTGTGTTATCCGTTACTAATCCTCAACATTTCCCCAAAGCTAAACGTGTATCTATCAACGGTGGTGGCTCACTAGGTTAGCAATTTAACAACAGGGAGAGGAGGAAAAGAAGAAGATAGAAGGTGATCTCAAAGGACTATGTACCAAAACTTCCAGTAGGGGCTGCTTTTCAAACTACATTTGTCAGCCACGGAGAGACTCTTTCAATCAGGGTGAGATGAAGTAAAATGTGAAGCTCAAATTAAGTTTCTTCTGTTCCAGCTTTCAACTCTCATCTCTCTTATCATTGTATTTGGTTCCGCTCTCACCAAGGTGAAGCAGAAACCATCCTGATTCTCTGCCTGTAAGCTCAGCTCCTACTTCAACAGCCCCATCATCACCTGTGTGTGCTTGCCCACGATCAGGCTCTAAATGGCACTCCTCTCCCCGTGGCTACGGGTCTTTCTTTTCTTTTTTAAGTTTAGGGATTTTTAAATTTAGGGATTTCTTTAACAACGCATTCTCAGTTCCAGTAGAGAAGCCATCATCAAAGTAACCGTAATGACAGCTGACACTACATGCGAGGCCCTGGGGTACAATGAAGTTAAGAACCCGGAGACCAGCAGGTGGGGGAGCTGGGACCTGAGCCCAGCCTCAGGATGGGGCCCAACGCCACGAGGCTGGATTCGTTTTCTTCCCCAATTACGTGAAGGCGCCACAGCCTGGTACAAAGTTGGGAACCAGGAACTCCTCGTTCTTACTTACTAACAATACTGAATGGTCCTCTTTAAATTTTAGCAGTTTTGTAAATTATCATAGGTATCTTCCAGCCACGGATTTCCTAAAGCAAAAAGCCCTTTTCTTCCTTAAACAAATACTTCTAAAGTTTTGTTTTTTAAAAAAGAAGACTTTTTTCAAGTAACAGAAGAAATACACATTCATTATAACAAGTCAAATGACACAGAAGCATAAAATAAAAAATAAAGGTCTCCCATTCATACACCATACTTCTCCCTAGAGGTAACCACCATGTTAATAACATGGCTTTGGTCCCTCTATTTCTTATGTCAACACAACATTTTCTCTAAACATTAAGATACAGTTGAATTAAATAAAACATGAATAGTTTTTAAATAGTCATGTAAGGTTCCCTCACATCTTTACTGCAATCTCCAGCCTCTGCTCCATCAAAACAACACAAAAACAAAAATAACCCAGCATCTTTTCACAGAAAAGATAACACTAATAAAATTAGTTTTACATATATAAAGAAGTCAGTGCCATATTAAACTATTTTTTTCAATCATTCAGAGTCCTAACAGCCAAGTCTATACATATTTTAAAAACAATAATAGAGAATGGAATTACAATTCAACCACGGATTCTAAAACAAATCTTCAGGAATGTAGATAAAAATCTAAACTTCCTGCAAAGTTCCAGAGAATGATCAATTCAAAACACAGCCCCGTGCCCACTCCGGCACACCTATACTCCCTGGGACACACGGGAACTGGCCCGCCCCACCAGAGGTTCTTTAGAACCTGGGCTCAAATCTAAGATGAAAGCACACTCCCCTGAGGAAGCTGTGGGCCAGGGCAGGTTTCCGCTGGCCTGGGAACACGTCCCCAGCCATCCCAGAAGTGACATGGATAAGTCTGCCTAGTATGGTACTGACCACAGTTTGGAACAACCAGTTTTGAGCCAATCCATGGCAAACAGCACAGCACAAAAGGAATCTGTGTTGCAGTTGCTGGGAGACTGGCCAGAACTGGTCAAAGTACAAATACAGCTTTTCCATAAGCCTCCAATCCCTCTTATGCCAATAAATGGCTTTGGATTTATGAATAGGCTGACAGCTTGCATTACGTTTTTTTTTTTTATAAAAGTGACAGAAAATATTTTTATTTTTAAGAAAATTACCCGTACTTCAAAAATATGCACATAAGATCTTTACAAGCATCAAGTAAGAAACCAAATCTCTTACCTTTGGCTGGCTTCTGGGTTCCCAAAAGATGTCGTCGATGACATGAAAGAAAAGAAAACATGGGTTTAAAATTTTTTTGAGTTAGAAGATGCTTTTTGAAGGGTAAAATGATAATAAACATCATGAAAATCTTTATGAAAAATACAAAATATTGACTTTGAAATCAAATAGCAATTTGATTAAGAAATCTCTTAACAGACAGAGTGCTAGTTACAGAAAGCTAACTTGTATCTCTCAGGCAGAAGAAAGATTATCTGAGCACTGGATAATTTTTAGATTCCTAACATTTCTGCCTTCTACATTTTGTTTAACCTTGTATATAACTTGTAAATACAAAATTAAAAAAAAAGAAATCCTTTGCTTTTTGTCATCTGACTTCACTTCCAAGAGTTTTCTCGCTTTGGCAAAGTAACAGCTTACTCTCTATCTATATAGGACGTGCTACAAACGATCAATTCTGTTCTAAGAAAAAAAGGTTAAAGGAACAACTAATTTTTTTTGCCAGTGAATGATTACTTACTGAATTACTCACTATTCCTCCATGCTGGCCCAGAGGCTTCCAATCTCCCTCCTCTGAAAATGCCAGTAGCTTACATCTCCTCAGGGTACAGGAAAATAACTCAATCCAGTATAACTCTGAGATCGTTTTAAACTTGGAGAAAAGTTATAGGAAAAGCACTAAGAACTCCCTTCACCCAAATTCACCAACTGTTAACACTGCCATGGCCACCATGTGAGGGTAAGTTGAAGACATGCCCCTTCACCCTAAACATTTCAGTGTATAACTCCTAAAAAAAAATGATGTTCACTTACACAACCATAGCAACAACTGGTCCTTTCAAAATGCCAAGTCAAACCTGAAACTCCAAAGGAAACTATACATGGAAACGCTTCCTTTCAATTGTCTATATACATATTGTGCCTCTGTCTCCAAAAATTTTCTTCTAAATGTTTTAGTTAAACTTAATAAATTTAACATTGTATCAAATGATTTCAGATAAGAGCAGTCAAATGCCAAGGAAAGCAGCAAATGAGTGGCACTCGCTCTACACATTTTGGAGTAACAGCCAGTGTGGCTAACATACAAAAGAAAGTAATTTCTCTGGAATAAGAGATATGGGGAAACTTTCCAACAAAAAGACTTGGAAAATACCAGTGGAAGGACTGACACATGGTATCACCTTTTTGTAGGTCTTTACAAGCAAAACAGATTCTCATCAATTGCAGAAGGTTTGGTTATAAACCGAGCTGGAGGCTAAGCACAGAGCCAGCATACATGAAATGCCCATGCAAGGCCAGGTACCTTGCATGCTACTTCATTTAATTCTCACAATAACTCTGAAAGATGCTATTACTATTCCAGTTTCACAGATGAGAAACTTAAGGCTCAGAAGAGTTAAACAACCTAGGCTGTTCAAGACACAGTAATAATCAGTGATGGATCTGGGATGCAAAAGTAGGTCTTCTGACTCCCAAGTCTGTGTTTTCTTCACCTCCCACAATGGTCAAAACAGCCTTGTCAAGTTTCCCCTAGACTGAAGAATCTATGAGTCATACATTAACAACTGCTCCTGGTAACAGAAACATTTCCCAATGTATTAATTTCCTCCATTCTAATTATTACCCAATAAAAGGTTACCACTTGGTGCTTATGCCAGAGTAAGTTAACTTATTTATTATATTTATAAAAACTCCAGACTGTCTTTTCTGAGAGAAAAATAAGATATTTAGCATGATATTCAATTTTAAGTAAAATATTTTTATATAAAAATCAGCTCTTCCTTCCTAGAAGACAACCAACAAATGTAAAATTCAGTAACATATGACACATAGCAGAAGAATCCATGGGGCTAACTTGAATCCAGAACATGATAATAAAAACAGAAGAAACAAACCAGTAAATTAATTACAGAGCTAAGTTTCCAGCTAGGGATCCTGGTGGCTACAACAATAAAGCTCAAATAACCTACAGTTACTGGAAACCCAAAGATGTAATTACAGCTCTGTACAAAAATAAGTAAGTAAATTAATTAATTAAACAAAGCCTTTCAACATGTAGTTGCAAACCAATACCACGGTGTCTCACTAGTCCAAAATCCCTTCTTTAGAAACCTCAGCTACCTAGATCACAGTGGGGATTCAGGAAGCAAAGAAGACCAGCTCCTGGACCAGTCAAAAGAGACATCATAAAGTAGAAGCGGGAGAGTCTGAGTTTATGAGTTTGTTGTTACTGTTCCTTAACTTCAGTTTGAACTTTCAGACTTACAAAAAGTTCCCAAAACAGTACAAAGAATTCCTTTGTACCCTTTACCCAGTTTCCCTAAATGTTAACATCTTACTATAACCATAGTTACAATGATCAAAACCAGGAAATCAACCATCTAACACAAGATTTATAAAATACCTCAGAGCCAACCTTAAATTCGTGCCAACCTCCCTGCTGATGTCCTTTTTTTGGCCCAGGATCACACACTGCAGGCAGGTGTCTTGCCTCCTCCAGCTGAGGATGGTTTGTCTCTCATGACCTTGACACCTGAAGAGTACTTACTGGCCAGCTAGTCTGTAGAATGTCTGGGTTTGTCTACTGCCTCCTCATGACTAAATTCAGGTTATGCATTTCGGCAGCACCACAGAAGCAATGTTGTGCCCTTCTAAGTGCATCAGTACCAGAAGGCACAGGAGGAGATGCCCCAGACTCATTACTGACGATGGTAACTCCCATCACCTGGTTACAGCTGTAGCTCCCAGGTCCCTCCACTGCACATTACTAGTTTTCCCTCTGTAAGGTCATGGGAGACTTCAAGACCATGTAAATACCATGTCTCAACATACTTTCACCCACAGATTTCAGCATCCATTGATGAGTCTTGCCCACAACTATTACTGTTCCCCAAATGGTGATTATCTAGTTACTGAGATGTTAAAGGTTCAGGCAGATGTGCTTCTTAGGGAGAGGGTGGCTCGAGAAACAACAAATGATTTGGCTGCATATTTTGGTTAGAACTGTTATCTGCGAAAAAGCTGGTCACTTCCTTCCTCTTACTGACCTGGTTTAGGGGCTTGTGCTCACTCTTCATTTAAATAATAAATTACACCATAAAAGTAAGTCAAATTATAGTCCCAATCTTTAGAATGCCACAATATGAAGAAGAAATTTAGTGATGATTTTATATAAATTGAAAATTTTTATTACTACTTCTATGACAAAAATAAAATCGATAATGGTTCCAAAAATAAACCAAAAGTATGTGAAAACCAAAGCCATGTCAGAATGATGAGTTATAAATCAATTACTGCTGTAAACTACCAAAATCAAACATTATATCCAAATCTCACCACTTCTTTTAATTTTAAAGATTTAAGTTTCTGAAACTTTCACAATAAGAAATAACTGAAATCTGTTTTACCAAGATCCCACCGAAACCCGCTCTCTAATGGATAGGTTACATCATAAAGAGTTTATTCTTATACGGCCGTACTATGTCATGATACTGTTTCTTTTCCAGACCTAAGCTGGCAGTACCAGCAACCAAACAACATTCTGTGTGATGATCGTTATTTTTTCTCTGTCACCCCTCCCCCAACGTGCTTTTCCACAGAAGGAATAAAGCTGACCTGACTGAAAATTCAGACACTGATCAGACTCACAAAGGAAATTTATCAATCTTTGCTTATCTAGCCAAATTTAAGAAGTACAAATATCACTAAAAGCCCCATCACTGTTTCCTGAACATTGGAATACTCCATTCAATTGTGAAGACTGAACTTTAAAAGCATCATTGATAGAGAATTCTGGAGAACAGCATTCCGGATGTAGAGGTTTAAAAACGCTCCACTGAAAGAATAAATCAAACAACTAGAAATACGCAGCCTGGACCAGGGAAGACTAAAAGAAGCCAGGATGCCATCCTCGGTAGGATCTACTGAACAAAGTTAAAAGGGTTCTCTCTTTCACGTAAGAATAATTAGCGCTGTGTTAAGACACAACCAGCCCCCGTTAGGGGGTAGGTATTACCTGAAGAGAGAACAGAAAAGCATCTGATGAGGATGTTGAGGAAGGAAAGAGCAGTTACACTGGATTACTTGTATACCTCTTATTTACAACACTTGTACAACATTATTTACAGCGGGAAAGCAGACATTAAGCGTTCAACAAGTTCTATTTCAATATTTCTATCAGGGACACTTGCAGATGGATGGTACCTCAGAGGTAACACATTTCCAGCGTCACCTCCCACGTCACAGCCTTGGAAGAGTCTCCCTCTGCAGCAGGCCCGCGTACTTCCCGCATTCCACACGCCCACACTCAGATAGCGCCACTCCCTCTAACAACTCTACTTCTTCAGGCCCTATTTATGTGGGAAAATCTCTGATCAAATTCTGTCTCCCTCAGGAATCCTTCCACAAGAGCCCTAGCCAAAAGTGAGTTTTCCCTCCCTCAATTCCTGTAAGTCAAAACTCTCTCTATGGCTCACGTATTACCTATCATTGTCACGTGGTACAAACTTTTTAAGTATATGTGGGTCATCTCTTCAGCTAGACTATAAGCTTCTGAAGGACAGAGTGTGTCGTTCAGCATTTATCAGCATCCAACACGAGGATTTTGCTTCTTCAGCAAGTGTTCCCTAACTCTCTAGGTGGCCTGGCCCCTCCCTCGATCTCAACCACATCTTGCCCCGTCTGCCTTGCGCCCTCGCTGGCCTCATTCTAACTGGCACAGTGTCCACAGTTTTCAGTCTCAGAGCTTTCATACATGATTTTTTTCTTGCCTTGAAATCTTGAGGTTACCTCCTATTCATCTGTCATTCTCAATTTGATTTCTCTATATGTATCTTTCGTAACTATTCAATCTAAATTAGGCACTTACTAGATAAACAACAAGGTCCTACTGTGTAACATTCAATATCTTGTAATAACCTATAATGAAAAAGAATATGAAAAAGAATATATCCATGTATAAGTGGCTTAGTATGCTGGATACAGAAACTAACACAACAATGTAAATCAGCTATT